TGCTATTTGAAATATCTGTCTTTAAATGCCACATTTAACCAGTTCTCTTTATAGTACAGCAAAATTCAAAGCCAGCTAAAATTAAAATACCCAAATAAACTGAGGGAGATTGCAGATACCCAAAAGTTGACATTTAAATACATTGTATGAACTTTTCACATCATGCGTGGGTAAGAGAAAGGTATAATTTTCTTCAGATTGCCTTATATGGGGCAAATCAGAATCAACTGATTTCTGTAAATCACCATGAATAGACATTTATTTCAGTCATCATCTCAAGTCCTAGACAGTTTTTTAGTGTCTTATTTCTTCTTTTAAGAGGTTATTGTCTTTTGTTTTTTTTTTAATATACTCATACTGTCAACCCTGAAAACCTATGATATTTAGTATTCCCTCAATGGAAAAAGTATTTACCTATGATTATTCTTCCCGTATGTAAGTTTTCTCTGAAATCCTCCCCCATTGCCATCTGTGTGTTTGTGTTGCAGTGGGACTGGGGCCTGACTGGCCGCTCTCCCCTGCACATTGCCAAGTTACATGCCACAAGTCCACTTCCTGCCCAGCCGTGCTTCTTCCCAACTGGTTGGCTTTCATCGTCAGGTTGTAAACTCCCGAGTAAAGAGATAGGAAGACAGTTTGTTATTAATCTCTATAAAAAATAACATGTTATTCTGTCAAAAGTCACAACAAATTTCTATGTACCTTGAAAGTTCAAATTAGCAAAAAAAAAAAAAAAACTGTTTAAAAAACAAAAGAAAACAAATAGACATGAGAGCAGTTGCCATGCAGTGAAATCAGTTTTAAATTATGATGTTGTCCTTTTGTTTCCTTAGAGAATTTGAAAATCTGTTAAATGGGTAACCTGGTGCTAATTATCTGATTTCTATTTATATGAGTTGATTATAAGTTTATTATATTTGTTAATTTTATTTGTTACATTCGGGAAAGCTAATATATGTCATTTGCATCTGAGAGGAAGAGTTTTCTTTGCCTTGCACTTTAGAAATATTTCATACTCGTCACTATTCATCCACATCTAAATCAGCTATCACTTAAAATCGTGGCCTCCTTATTCCCTTTTTTTTCAGAACATTCACCAGTGCTTTGCTTTATTTGTTGGAAAGATTATTCCCCAAAGAAACTATATGAAATTATTAATACTTTATCCAGCAAATGGGAATTTAAGCAACAAGCTTCTTGTTGTTTGTGGGGTTTTTTTTTTCCTAATGAGAAATGAGTTAATTTTGCTTTCATAAAAACTTGCACATCAAGATGAATTTCTGGTACCTCCTGGAGATAGAGCATTATTTGCAAGACTGTCTGCATCCTGATCATTGCAAAGGGAGCTCCATCATATAGAACATCAGAAGTTTTAATGAGAAGGGTGATCCCTCTGGCCTTGTGTCACTAATATTTTATTTTGTATAAATTCCCCTGGAGAACTGAATTAAGGATGCCATTCCTCATTCTAGCAGTTGGAGATGGAGCCCAAGTAGCTGGAATTTCTGTTGTGGAAGAACACAAAACAGACTAAGAGGCTGTTCTAGGTTCTCCAAATCCCATTCAGTATGTAATGAGGAGAAAACACCATTATCTTACCAGTTTCTGCTATTAAAATGGATGGCTCTTCCTTGAATTCTCTCATTGTAGACTCATTCTAATTGACTGAGTCAAGACCACATCTGATATTTATTTCTTTTTCTGATAATTAATACAGTAACAGCCACTGGAATGAGGGCTGAGGTCAGGGTCCATGTTAGGCAGGAAACATGGAAGGATCCCTTGATCTTGGCTGTGAAGATGTCCAGAAACAATATGGCAGAACAGCGGAGGTTGGGAACACCAGTGAAGCAGTCTGTTTTGAATCAGGTCTTTGGAATCAGTCCTTAGTCTGAGGGCCAAGAAGAAATCAGAGTCCTTCTTCCTAATTTCTGCTACCAAGAATGCAGGAAAACATTCTCCACCTAAAATAGTAAGATGCCTGCAGCCATGCCTGTGTCTTCCTACACACCAGTCATTTTCAGCAATAATAAGCATGAGGATGGGGTTTTCTACCCTGCATTGATAAGGTCTGAGTTGACAATTTATGTATAAAACTATTATTTGGACCAGATTCAATACCTGCTAAAAAGAAAGGGAACAAGGTAAGGAGATATAACATAGAAAATAATGATTGCAGGGCTTTTGCCAAAGGTATTTTGTTGTGTATAATGCTTTCTGAAGCAGAAATGTAAAAGACAATTCATTATTCATGCTTTTTTCATATTCATACAGATATGACTGTATAATGAAAATTGGTCTTTTGCTGTGGGGATAACTCTGAGTCTCTCAGTAATAAATATTCTCCAGGACCAAGGGATTTATATGCAGAAATCATCTTTACAAAGCAAACTTTGCCTCAAAAACAAGGCTCTTGTTTTTAGGGGATGCTTGCTATATTGCCAAGAGCTTTGTGCTGTTTACCAACAGTTATATCAGATACAAATTAGGAAATTTAATTATAAAATGGTCCTAATCATCCATAAGTGTTTTAATCAATTTATATTTATTCATTTTTAAACTAAATATAGAAAACTTCTGTTTTCTTTCAGTAAATCCAGAGCAGTCATTCAGGGCTGAGCAATAACAAATGTGGAAAATGTTCTGGTTAGGGGCTCAGCTAGTTAGACTAAATCTGTGTATTGAGCATGGGCAAATATGAACCCACTCAACTCTTGGATTAAGTGCTGTATGTTTTCGTTTAATTATGTTTCAGAAACAGTTTAAAGTATCAATTGATAGGTTAGTTCCCCTTGATGCATTGTTTCAAAGTAGTTATTGTCTGGTAGAACACTGTACTCCAGGTAATGGAACCTAATAAATTTTTGATAACAGCCTAGAGAGAAGAGATTTCATCTTCCAGTGGAAAACATTATCAGAGCAATTTTCATTGTATGCCTACAGCATTTGGGTATTGTCCAACTTTAGTGATTTAGGAAAATCCTAGATCCCACAGGAACATCAGAAAATCGGAAGAAATAGGTAAAGCTAGTAAGTTGAGTCTGTATATAATCTCACTGATGAAACTCATTAAGTAGCATGATCATTATTTCTCTCTGCCAGTGAGCTGGGAACTAAATGGGGAATGTGGTTCTGAAGGAAGGAGCATAGTGATAGATCAACAGCCTGCAAGACTTGGTTCTGTAGTTCTGCTGTGGGCAGTTAGGAGTGACTGATGGAAGATGGGTGATTTTTCTAACAGTGGTACCCACCAACAATGTAACGTGGTAATTCTGAAGACTAGGTTAATTGAAAATAAGAGAAATAGTTGCAATTCCTTTTTAAAATGATCTGACCTTACTTAGGACATTAATACATTGTTTATCCTAATAATAATCAATGTGTATGATTATCAATAAGTGTTTGGCACTTGCCAAGGTAGAAAGTAACCTTTGGAAATAGTTATCAGAGTGTATACAAAACCATTTAAACATTGTAAGTTTAAAACACACACACACACACACACAATTTAACTTTTCATCATTTCCATTTAAAGCTTGATTTTATAAAACATAAAAAGATATTTTTAAATGTTCTGCAACACAGGAATTTAAATAGAAATATCCATAGCTTTGTAGGTTCATGTTATATAAATTAAAGTCAAATAGTTAAAAATGTTTTCAATATAGGAACTACACAATGGAATAAATGGCAGAGGACCTAATAGCAATATTTCATTACTAATGGATTAGGATTAGTTACTTTCAAGATCTAAACAAAGGCCATTGTTTAAATGTTTTAAAACCATTTAAAAGTCACCACAGTTGACCTTTGAAATCTGAAACTATATGACATCAATTGTTGCTGAATAAAGTGAGTGTATCTATGTACATACTTGCTCTCTCAGTTTCATAATATGCCTTTCACTTTTGGCTAATTTATTTGTCCCTACATGAACAGTCTATTTTTCCAAGGTTTCAAGTTAGATCATCATTTGGGCCAATCTTGGCATTTAAAATTGCCGAGAAGTTCAAGTATACTTTAGGAGAAATAGATTTATAAATAAGAGTAAAAATATTAGTAAATGAAAGACTGTATTTCCAAGCAAAGGAAATTCCACATCATAGCAAACCATGGTTAGGAGATAAATCAGTGTCAGAGAATGATGATCTTTTCATATGTGCCAATAAGTAGCTCCACTGAAATTGACCAAAATAAGGACGAGCAATTTACCATTACTTTTGCCATTTTTTTCCCTAATGACTGCGGACCAGTAATGGTTAAGATTTAGAGCTTGTTTTTGTAGGATTCATCAGAAAAGCCACATATTAAGATTTCATTTTGGGGCGCCTGGGTGGCTTAGTCGGTTAAGCGTCCAACTTTCGCTTAGGTCATGATCTCGCGGTTCGTGGGTTCGAGCCCCGCGTCGGGCTCTGTGCTGACTGCCAGCTCAGAGCCTGGAGCCCGTTTCAGAGTCTGTGACTCCTTCTCTCTCTGACCCTCCCCTGCTCACGCTCGCTCTCTCTCTCTCTCTCTCTCTCCTAGAAATAAATAAAAAAAAAAAACATTTAAAAAAAAAGATTTCATTTTAACATTCTAGTGGACATATTCCAGGAGAAGGATGCAAAATCCCTAGCCACAGAAGTCAGAGAAGTGGTTCAGTTGGACCTGCACTGCTGCCAAAAGATTTTACTAAAGTACAAAGCCAAGTAATGTCTTTCTTTGCTTGACATCCTGGGGTAATTTCTCCCATAGCTTCAAATTCCTTGGTTTAGTACAAAACATCCTTTATAATCTGGCCTTTGCCTTGGCATTTATCTCCATAGTTACTGGTCTCTGGTGTGTCTCTGCCATTCTGTGGTAAGCTCCCAGAGGTAGGAAATATATGTGATTCATCTTAGGACCACCAGTGCTAGGTCCAGTAAGAACCTCAGTAAGTATCTGTTGAACGGTTGAACAGATGGTTGGAAATATTGCAGTATTCTAAGACCTAACATGGCTGTGTTTTTTCCTTCCTCAAGGACTTTGGCATCATGATCCTGCATCACATTGTAGCTATTTTCCTGATTTCCTTTTCATATGTCAACAATATGGCCCGAGTAGGGACCCTGATCCTCTGCCTTCATGATTCATCTGATTCTCTTCTAGAGGTAAATGTTTTCTTTCATCTTTAAGAGTTCAAATTCCAGAATTCAGGAAATCCCCAAGACCATCACTTATTCTATATTAACTAGACAGTGCTGGGGGAAGATCGTTATGTGACTGATTTGAAACTGCCAAGTGTTTCTTTTGTAAATTGGTAAAAGTGAGACTTTAGTGTATAAATTTTTGTACTAAGAATGTTGATCATCATAGGATTCTTTATTAGTATAAAAATGAAAACTTTCACTATTCCAGACTTAAGAAATGAATGTTTTACAGTCAGAAAATCATTATTTGAATAGGTTTTGTTCTAGTGTTATAAAGTTTCACACCGTTATATGTGGAAAGTATATGTAACTCAATTCAGTTATTAATGGTAGTTATATATCATGGTGAAATTAATTAATGGTCAAAGTTTTTATTGACAATATACCTATTATCCTAGTATTTTTACAGTGAAAAGTGTGTATGAATTACAAATTAAATATAAACTGATTCTCCTTATGTAAGTATAAAGAGTGTCTGAGGAAATATTGGTTGTATTTTAATTAACTTTCTAAACCATTATTACTTAGGATTATTAAAGTAGCAAAAAAAACAAGAAGAAGAAAAAGAAAAATGCTTCCAGCATATTTCAAAACATAAAATCCCATGGAAAATTTTGATGTGGTGTTTACTCTTAATCCTGGCCCCTATGAAAGGACGCACCCAATAGAGATATATAATTAAATAAAATATTTTTAAATTTGTCCTAAGAAGTTTGCAGAGCAGGTGAAAGATAAACTTACTAGAGTACAAATTTCATATAGAAATGGTTCTTAGAATCTGTATTCTGAGTTTTTATTCTTCCTGTCCCACAGTTCTGCCCCTTTGAAGTATATACTGTCGCTGTGAATAGGGAATAGAAGTCCCCTCAAATAATGACCTACCATTACAGTATAAGCAGAAATTCCATATGATAATATTGAATCTCCTATAAAGATAATTAGTTGAGGTTTGAAATAAATACAGCACTTTATGAAAAAAGTCTGTTCCCTATAAGCCTATGAAACAGAAAACCTGTCCTAATGGGCTATATCAGACGATAGTGTGGCACAATGATTTTTAAGTGATTCAAGCTAGACTCTAGCATATTCTTTAAAGGAGAAATATAATTGTATAAGAGCAGTCTGAAAATCTGTTACTGTTTAGTTAAATCCTAAGTATGCTTGAAAGTGGATACTTTCAAAGCAATCTACAGTTTTGAAGTCAGTCTGCCAACTTTATTGTCTATGGAAATGGCTGGTTGAATCTTTGTCTACCACTTTTATCCAGAAAAGAAAAATAATCCAGAAATGTCAGTCATGTGGCTTAAAAGCAAATATTCTTCATCACCTGGATTTTCTTTACCTTATAGAGTAATGCTTGAGAATATCCAAATAATGAGATATGTCAACCATCACCTCTTTGAAGTGGGATCTATGACCTAGACATTTCCAAAAAATTGCATGTTTGATGTCTTTTTATTGAATACTGGTGAATGAATGTAGGAGAAAAATGGTTTACCTAGGCAGAAGGAGGCAGAAGGTGTTTTTCTCTTTCTTACTGTAATTCATGGTGTCACACCCAAAGTACTCATGAAGTTAAAAGTTCATAATCCTGGCTTCTGCTCAGTTAATAGGTATTTTTTTCTTAGGAATCCATTTCTCTCGTAGCTCTGTGTTTTACCTGAAGCTACCAAATTTTAGCTTCTGTGTATACTGTCATCCTTTCAAGGTTGGCTCAGCTAATTTAACTTTCTAAGAAGTAGAAATAATGTTATGAATTCAGCAAGACATCTTCAGTTTATAACCCTGTGTGTGGGTGTGTGTGAATTCTAGGTGAAAATGTAAAAAGAGGTGATCAAGCAAAATTATGTTTTCAGTGTCACCTGTTGTCAGAACCATCTGCAAAAAGTAGATGTTAGGAAAAGGGATGTAATTCCTTACTTAATTTATAATATAAAAAGTGGTCATTAAATTACTGTTGTAAATTATTAGAGTAATTCTCATGGACACTTCAATCATTAGTGACTTTCATCTAGAAAATGACCCATTAATGTAACTTTGAAAATTATACCTAAGTGAATTCATTGAAATAACATGATCTTGACATGTTTTTCATTTCTGAATTTATGAGAATAAGCCAAGAAAATGTCTCCCCAGAATTTTTCTTATTACTATTTAAGGAAAACCTTTAACTCTAAACAGAAAGGAAGCAATGCAGAAAGGCTCCATATATTCTGTATAAAGTCTGTGGCCTTACTGTTTGCTGCTCATTAGAGGTTTCAAGGATTGCCTAGTACTTTTTACTTTGACCTGTGATGCCAGATTCCTGTGTTGGTGTCTTTGGCTTGCTAATATTGTTTATAATGCAAGAATTTTCTTATTTTTCTGTTTCTCTGAGATCAACCATATAATTGAATTTTTCAGGTTGCTGAATGTTTTATTAAATCTGTGACAGTACTTCTACTTCTAGCTAATGCTGCATTTCACTCAGCTTATGGGTAATTTATAAATACTGGTGCATGATGCATGACATTTCAAAGTAGCAGGCAGTTTAATGCATCTGGTAAGTTGTATCTTATAGGAGACTCATGTATATTGAAAGAAGCTTTTCATTTATCAGTTTAACCAAATTAATATATCACATTCCTTCCTTTCATAGGCTGCCAAAATGGCAAATTATGCCAAGTTTCAGAAAAGTTGTGATCTTCTGTTTGTTATGTTTGCCATGGTTTTTATCACCGCACGACTGGGCATATATCCTTTCTGGTGAGTATGCCAATCTTCTTTCCGTTAGAGCTACCCCTTCCACATAGGCTTTATGAACTATTTTGCTTTTGAATTTCATTCCAAATATTTAGTAAGAGGTTTAAAGAAAGTAGAGGAGGGACTCAAGAAATGCCTTGATTTCTTCTTCCAGAAGAGGGTTGTACTCTTGACTAATACTTCCTGCAGGATAGTTAGAGAGGGATGTGGCTTACAGAGGTTCAGAGGGCACAGAAAGCCATCTGCCATTTTGGTGTCCAGTCTAGCGTATGATTCAGCAACCCTTAGCTATAAAAGTTTGAATCAATAAAGGAGACTTGGTTTTGTAGCCAGTATGTATCAAGGATTCTCCTGTACCAGGGGTTTACAAAGCATTGTTTCTGGGCGAGTAGCAACAGCATCACCAGGGAACTTGTTAGCAGTGCAACTTACTGGACCCCACCTCAGACCTACAGATTCAAAAACTTGGAGATGGCTCCTAGAAATCTGTGTTTGGATGAGCCTTCCTGATGGTTCTGCTCCGTATTAAAAGTTGAGCTGTGTAATTCTCTTCACCTAACTGTATGTATAGCTAAAACAGATGGACAGTATAACCTGAAAGTAATCCCTGAAATTCTCTATGGCCTGTTAATGTATGGATGTCTTTTGTTGAGAGCTAAGGACACAATATGACTGACTTTGATGGAATCTGATAGTCCTTTCTATAGAAGATAAGTCCAGTGTCATTAATCTTTTTTCTGGAAGGCTATTACTTGAACTAGAAAAGAAATGAGCCTCCTCTACATGTAAAATCTACCACTGATGGCAGATTTTTTTCCATTTTGAGAAATTTATTTGAATGGGAAATTAAAGCAATGGAAATTGGAAAAAGCTGAGAAATAAAGGGTTACAGTAATAACTTGCCCAAATAGAAAAACAAACATAATAAAGTTGGGACTTTGAAGTAAGTATGGCTATCGATGGAGTTCCATAAACCAATTACTTACACACACACACACACACACACGCACACATGCACCCATGCACACATACCCCTTCTCCTTGAGGCTCCATCCTTTTGAACACTTATTTATTATGAAAATCATCTCAAGAAGCAAAATTTTGTGTTGGCAACAAGCATTTATAAAACCCCAGTTTTATGCGCTCGTAGGTAGGAAACACATGTAATTTTGAGTATAATACATCTGTAATTATTTCAGAATTGGGGCTCTTTCAAGATTATTAACAGAACTAGTGGTAAGAATTTAAATAGAAGTAATTAGAGCAACGTCCAGGACATACTTCTTAAGGGAATAATGGGAAGGTTTTCTTACCTAGGATTTCTGAGAACCTGAGTTATAAAGAAATAAGCATCACTCTCAAGTACTTTGATTTGCTTACTTCCCTTTAAGGGTAGAATTAAAATTGAGATGCACCCCTGCTCCTTCCCTCTAGCTAATGTGTAGAAAGCTCTTTAGGTTTAGACAGCACTGAGTTGCCTAGAACATAGACTGCAAAATACAGAAAGTAGGTAATGCTACCAAAAAAATAACTAATAGGTGTGCCCTATGATCATGCCATAGACTAGCCACTTAGAAAAATCCTTATAACCAAATACAAAGCGAGAGCTTTTATTGCAAATGCTGTAGGACTTCTGCTACCATGCCCCTGCATGCAGCCATGGTTTTTAAGAGGCACCTTGCAGAGAGAAATATTTTATTGTTTGTAATACAAGCAATAATTTGTATACCTGCTCCCACTGTAGTTGTACATCTAGTGAATGAAATCCTTTTCAGATATACCTAATAAGTAATCTTAATGCCTGGATGACCTTTGTTTCCAATTTCTAGAGCATAATGAGTATTTTAAGTGTTTAAAATTACCACGTGCATGACAATTGCCAATAGTGTTTTAAATATTTCCCTTAAGACTGTGAAATTATTTTACAAGTTCCTTTTAAATTAGGAAATCCTAGAATTGAGAGAGACAACAGGTTGCAACTCCAGAATCTTCTCCTGCCACCTCTGCCTGGGATAGGAGTTCTGTCAGTTTCCCTGGTCTAGGAGTATTCCTTCAGAGGTCGAGGTAGAAATGGTTTCTTAAATGAAACAGAAACCTGGGCCTTTACAATTTATAAGCTAGAGGTTCTTACTCTGTTTAGAAATCCCTGAAACAGTACCAAAGAAACCATATTTGTGTGTGTTTTTGTCCTGGAGGAGAGGGTACAGATTCTCAAGGAGATCCGTGACTCCCTCCCCTCCTCAAAAAAGTGCCTCTGGAAACAGACTAAGTGTACCCTGCCACTTTGAATTGAAAACTCTTAAGAACGTGAAGATCTCTAACGTATCATCAGTGTGTTTTCTCTTCATCGGGAAGCATCTTTAATCCCTTCAGTTGTTCCTGCTTATTGTTTGCTCCCCTTTGTTTATTCCTGAGAATTCCTCTTGTCATGATGTTCCAAATGTGGACTGCCCGGTATAAAATACAAGAGAACTCAAAACAAGTTTTATTTAGAACTGCATTTCTTGGGGCGCCTGGGTGGCTCAGTCGGCTAAGCATCCGACTTCGGCTCAGGTCATGATCTCACGGTTCATGGGTTTGAGCCCCACGTCAGGCTCTGTGCTGACAGCTCAGAGCCTGGAGCCTGCTTCAGATTCTGTGTCTCCCTCTCTCTCTGCCCCTCCCCTGCTCATGCTCTGTGTCTGTCTCTCGAAAATGAATAAATGTTAAAAAATGGTTTTTTTAAAAGAAATGCATTTCTTTAATGCAGCTTGCCATTGCAATAACTGTAAGCAACTTTGACATTGTATTGTTGCTGATCTGATAAACATCTGAGCTCCTGCCAGACTAGATCTTCTTCATCCTAAATTTATTTTTATGTATTTTTATTTCTACTATGATTTATTTATATACCTAATTATACAAACTGCAATAATTCCTATTCATTTTTATCATGTTATTTTCAAATATTCTAGCCCAAGTAGGATCTTGTGAACTATATCCAGTGCCATACTTATCCCTTCCACCTTTATGTTACTTAAGCATATGCCTTTCATGCTTTTCCCAACTCATCGAAGAAAAAAGTTGACCCAGAGGAGCTCCTGATACCTGAAGAATTTCTTTGAGTTGACTTCAGTCTCTCCACCGCCAGTCTTTCTTTATGATCTTTCTACTTGCTCATCCTCATAACTGCTCTGTCCTCATGGCTGCTATTCTCCCACATTTTTCCCAGGTGTAATCAAAGACTTCATCCAAGGTCTTGTGAAAGTCAAAATTTACTCTGTTGTTTAAGATATCGTCTGCACATGTAGAGGCAGGGTGAAAAAGTATGTGGGGCCCAGCCGGCATGACTTGATTTTAGGAGACCTTTGTTGGCTTCTGGCTCTTCACTTCTAGGTACTCATCCCCATCTGTTTGATTATCTGTCTGCAACAGTGAACTTATCAGTCTAAAATTTCTAGTCTGCCTTTTCCATATTGTTTACGTGTGGACTTTTACCTTCCGTTATGCCACCATTTTTTAAAATGTACTTTGTAAATATTTATTGGGTACCTACTATATAACCAATAAGGGCTGGGTGATGAGAATTCACTTAGATACAGGACCTCCCTTGGGGCACTTGGTGTTGAACCTTGATAGGTCCCTTCAGGGACCTATTATTCTGGTTAATATTTTGGGGGGCCTAGAGATTATAAATTATTTTCTCAACATTTTATGGAGATAAGTAAGATAACTGGATGTCAGTGTTAAATAGTTTGGTTGAGTGTACTAAGGAGCTTTGTCAACTAAAGAGAGCATTATACTATGTAGATACTGTGTGCGTGAAACAGTCACTGGCTACTGGAGGGAAGGAACTGGAGGCAGATTGGACTTTAGTTTTTAACAACAATTTTATGAACTTCTTTCTTCTCCAAGTACTTGTGCTTCAGATGGAAGAAGACACAAAATTATTCCATGTGCTCTCTGCTTCTTGTAGTTTGTAATCCATTTACATTGGAATCACCAACCATATCTTGCAGGTTCCTCCTGACCATACATCTGTTCCCACATGAGCCATCAGAATTTTTATAATTTGTGGTTTTAATAAACTGGGATCATTCTTTTTTTATTAAGTTTGTTTATTTGAGAGAGAGATGGTGGGGGAGGGGAGTGGCTGAGAGATGGAAAGAGAGAATCTGCACTGACAGTGTGGAGCCTGATGCAAGGGCTTGAACTCATGAACCGTGAGATCATGGCCTGAGATGAAATCAAGAGTCGGACACTAAACTGACTGAGCCACCCAGGTGGACACTGGGCTCGTTCTTTGTGTCTTCAGTCCATGTCTCACCAAGACAGCATCCACCATGATTAGCCTTTTAAGATTCATACATAGCTCAGACTTTTCTTTTGACCACAATATATCCTTCTAGAACAGCACTGTCAAATGGAAATATAATTCAGGCTTCATATTTATTTTATAATTTCTAGTAGCTGCATTAAAAAAGTAAGAAAGAGGTGACATCTATTTACATGACATATTTTGTTTATATAACATTATTACATAAACATTTGTTTATAATATTTATATATTATCAGTATATACAAAATAATGTCATTTTAACATATAATCAATATTAAATATTACTGATATTTTCATTCTTCTGTTGCACACCAAATCTTGGAAATTGGGTATGTGTTTCACATTAGTGCATCACTCAGAAGTCTTTGTATTTTAGCCTTTATGGTGTGGTTGGACAGTCAGTGATTATATCATTTTTGAGATTAAGCCCATCATTGTAAACTATTACTGTTTTCATTGATCTGCATCTGTCTTTCCTTAACTCCATTGAAGTTTAATCCCTGAAATTCCTAACAATTGCCCATATTTTATGAAGCTGTGGTTTCAAATGGCACAGAGTAGATTGTGCTTAATGTCATTGTGGCATGTATCACAATGCCTTGCCCACAATGGCTACTCACTATTTGTTGAGTACATTAGATATCCTTTCATTCTAAAAAATTCTCACATCTGTTTTCTTAGTTGA